ATGGGTCAAGGTTTTTACCTTTGGTTCTTGTTGCGACATAAACAACGGGTCAAGGTCCTATTATAAACCTGATTTAGCTTTCCTGGAGTTTAGAAATCCCTTGTTGTGCTGTGGGTCTCATTGTTCTCTTTGGGGTTCTCATCAAATGTGTTGTTGATGCACTTTCTGGCAGGTATGCATTAATCTCTACCCTTGATGCAAAATTACTTGGTTTTGAGCACATTAAAGAACTATATCCTTTAGACCAAGAGTTTTTTGAGGAGTTTCGAGCCTGTGAGAAAAATGCAGCCAGTAAGTTTTATAGGCATGATGCTTTCTTGTTTCGGGAAAATAAGTTATGTGTGTCGAATTATTCTTTGCGTGATTTGCTAGTTAGGGAATCCCACAGCGGAGGGTTAATGGGACATTTTAGGGTTGCTAAGACCTTAGCTATTTTGCAGGAGCACTTCTTTTGGCCACACATGAAAAGAGATGTTGAGAGGATTTGTGGTAGATGTGTCATGTGCAAGCAAGCAAAATCCTAAGTGCAACCTCATGGTTTGTATACGCCACTACCTATTCTCAGTGAACCTTGGATTGATATTTCCATGGACTTTGTGTTAGGCTTGCCTAGGACTAGGCGTGGAAAAGATTGAATTTTTGTGGTTGTGGATAGGTTCTCTAAGTTGGCAAATTTTATCCCATGTCATAAAATGGATGATGCTTCACATATTGCTGATTTGTTCTTTAAGGAGATTGTGAGATTACATGGTATGCCTAGAACAATTGTTTCAGATAGAGATGCTAAGTTTTTGAGCTACTTTTGGAAGACTTTGTGGAGTAAGCTAGGTACTAAACTATTGCTTTCTACCACCTGTCACCCACAAACTGATGGTTAAACCAAATAGGACTTTGTCAACTATGTTGAGGGCTATCATTAGTAAGAACATTAAAATTTGGGAAGATTGTTTGCCACATGTTGAATTTGCTTATAATCGTACTATTCACTCTGTTACTAAATTTTAACCCTTTGAAATTGTGTATAGGTTTAATCCATTAACTCCATTGGATTTATCTCCTTTACCAATGTCTGAGCGCTTTAATTTACATGGCAAAAAGAAAGCTGATTTTGTGAGGCAGATTCAAGAAAAGGCAAGACTCAACACTGTGATGGGAATCAAGACGACAGCATATCTACTACGTCATGTGATCCATTACACACCCAAGGAGGTCCAGTCACGTGAGCTAGAGCTAAGAAGATGCGTGAAGCTTTAAATGGCCTTATTGAGCAGATCTGGGTTGAAAACAACATACAACAAGCAAATCAAAGCTTGGATGATTATCAAGGCATGATAAACATCATTCAAGTTCAAGAGAAGCTTAATTGAAGTCATTTATGGTAAATTACAAAGTTTGCGTCAATCTCGCAATTCTGTTGCAATTTGTAACAAACTGATATTTCATGTTACTTTAGGCTACTTTTAGTGATTTTCACGTTTTTTATATTATTTTGGGCTGAACATTCATCATTTAAGGCCCAATTCGTGGTTATTATGATTAGGGCTTAGGGTGTTAGTTTCCTATTCTGATTAGAATTACTTTTCCCTATTTAAAGGGGCTTGTAACCCTAATTGGGGAGGCGATTGAATCTGAGTTTTTGAGAGACTTTTCTCTTTGGTTCATTTCAGAACTTTACAGAACTTATCAAAATTATTCTTGTGGCATTCTAACCTGACTTATCATTCTTGTTCTTAATCGTTCAAGGGTGTGGCGTCAACCAACTTTATACCTCTGGTTCTTGTTGCGTCATAGACAATGGGTCAAGGTTTTTAGCTTTGGTTCTTGTTGCGACATAAACAATGGGTTAAGGTCCTATTATAAACCTGATTTAGCTTTCCTGGAGTTTAGAAATCCCTTGTCGTGCTGTGGGTCTCATTGTTCTCTTTGGGGTTCTCATCACATTGAGTGAAGAATAGAGCAATATGCAAAGCAAGCCAACAAGGGGCATTCTGATGAGAACCCCAAAGAGAACAATGAGACCCACAACACGACAAGGGATTTCTAAACTCTAGGAAAGCTAAAACAGGTTTAAAATAGGACCTTGACCCGTTGTTTATGTTGCAACAAGAACCAAAGGTAAAAACTTTGACTCGTTGTCTATGACACAACAAGAACCAGAGGTATAAAGTTGGTTAACACCACACCCTCGAACGATTAAGAACAAGAATGATAAGTTAGGTTAGAACGCCACAAGAATAATCTTGATAAGTTCTGTAAAGTTCTGAAACAAACCAAAGAGAAAAGTCTCTCAAAAACTCAGATTCAATAGCTCCCCCAATTAGCGCTATAAGCCCTTTAAATAGAGAAAAGTAATTCTAATCAAACTAGAAAACTAACACCCTAAGCCCTAATCCTAATAACCATGAATTGGGCCTCAAATAAATGAATGTTCAGCCCAAAATAATACAAAAAAATGTGGAAATCACTGAAAGTAACCTAAAGTAACATGAAATATCAGTTTGTTACAAATTGCGACAGAATTGCGGGATTTGGACGCAAACTGTGTAATTTAGCATAAACGACCTCAATTAAGCTTCTCTTGAATCTGAATGATGTTTACTATGCTTTGATAATCATCCAAGCTTCGATTTACTTGTTGCATGTTGTTATCAGCCCAAATCTGCTCAACAAGGCTATTTAAAGCTTCTCGCATCTTCCTAGCTTTAGCTCTCGTGATTGGACCTCCTAGAATGTGTAATGGATCTCTTGACGTGGTACATGTGGGGCCATCTTGATTCCCATCATTCCCTCTCTCCTCAAAAGGATTTGTCTTCAAATCGTCACCTACATCAAAAGGAGAAAGATCAGAAACACTAAAAGTAGCACTAACAATATACTCACCAAGAAGCTCCAACTTGTATGCATTGTCATTTATCCTTGCAATGACTTAAAATGGTCCATCGCCTCTTGGCTGCAACGTAGA